CATTGTGGAGCACCATTCTCAAACACCTGCAAGGGCTCTGTGGCCATAAATCAGCTCCTTACAATAGTAATTAATAGGGTGACCCACAGAGGGTGAATTCTCCTTTTCCAAAGAACCTAAATAAGTGGGTCATAGCAATGAACATAACTGAAAAATGAGGGGGAAACTCCTTAAATGCAAATACATTGTTTTTTTTTTTTTCTCCTGAGGAGAAATAAGGAAGGTTTACCAGCCTAAACTGACTTTATCACACTAGAAAATAAATGCAAAAAGAAGTGTATAACATTTTCAACTTGGATGAATTTTTTAACCTAAGTCACAGGGAGAAAATTGTGTGAAAATTTTAGCATTATGTGTAAAACATAGTAGGCATTCAGTAAATATTTGTTTTATACTGAATGAATACATGGCCAAGTAATCCACTTAAGGTGAAAAAACCTTACTGGCTCAACTGGGCATTTTGACTGCTATGAAAAAAAAACAACTGTGATGGTTAATACTGAGTGTCAGCTTGACTGGATTGAAGGATACAAAGTACTGACACCAGGTATGTCTGTGAGGGTTTTACCAACGGAGGTTAACATTTGAGTCAGTGCGCTGGGAAAGGCAGACCCATTCTTAATCTGGGTGGGCACCATCTAATCAGCTGTCGGCACAGCTAGAATATAAGCAGGCAGAAAAATGTGAAATGAAAGACTAGCCTAGCCTCCCAGCCTACATCTTTCTCCCATGCTGGATGCTTCCTGCCCTCAAACATCGGACTCCAGGTTCTTCAGTTTTGGAATTCGGGCTGGCTCTCCTTGCTCCTCAGCCTGCAGATGGCCTATTGTGGGACCTTGTGATCGTGTGAGTTAATACTTAAACTCCTCTCTCTACATATAGATAGATAGATAGATAGATAGATAGATAGATAGATAGATAGATAGATAGATATAGATAGATAGATGTAGAGAGAGGTATCTGTCTCTAGAGGGACAGAACTAATGGAATATACACATATGTGCGTGTATATATATTACATATATATATATAAAATACAACAACCCAAACAATCCACCAGACTCACTGATATTCCCCCCCAACAGAACTAGCCCAGTGGTGAGGGTGTGTTTGGAACAATTAGAAGTTAAATGGGATTTTCGACTTGGTGCACACACCACTTGATAAACATGCCCCATAATTACTCTGTGGTGCAGTGAGAAAAATGCAAGGGATTCAGAGTTAGAAGAGTTGGGTTAAAGCCTCAGTTCTGCCTCTTGGCAACCGTGAAACTTTGGGACAATCATTTAACCTCTCTGAGACTGGGTCTTCTCCTCTGAAGATGGAGATAACATAAACAGAGAATTGAGCTGGCAAATGGGGTTGACAACGTCTGTGGAAGTGAGCTGTCCACCATAAACTGGGATGCAAAGGTAAGTTGGGATTCATGTTATGAATCACCAGTGTCATTAATATCATATTAATGGAACAAATGACCAACTTTTTAATTATGGTACTAATAACTATGAACATTAATTAATTTGAAATCGCTCCAGTCATTGCTTAGATAAGTCACCTATTGAAGCTGGAGGAAAACTTTCCTAAATGTCACTGGAAAACCAAGGGAAGTGTGGGTTCCATTCACCCTCTGGGACCATCATGGTTATTTTGAGATCAGTCTTGGCTGACAACATCTGAGTGAAGAGCACTGATGGTTTCCCTACAATGTGTTGCAATCAGAGGATATGGGACAACTGACTTCAGTTGGAACCAAACCAGAGCTGTGTGCTGGAGTTGCAGTTTGCCTATGTGTGCAGATTCTTTCCTACAACCAACTCCAAATAGGAGACAGAGTGCATGCTTCTGTCCCTATCAGAACCCTATTTGCTGAAGGGCAGCCAGAAAGTGAGGAGAAGCTCTCAGGCTTCCTCACTTTGTTCTAACACGCTTTTCTCCCAATGGCTGTAGGGGTTAAGAAGTCTGGGTGAAAGACTAACACAGGGCCAGGCTAGATAGAAATTGGAGACTGAGAGTTTTACCAAATCCTCCCTATTTCTGATCTTCAGGAACTGGACACTGAAATGGAGTAAGAACATAAATAGATATATTTCAAGCTGTAACCCCCCTCCTTCATTCTCTTAAAAAGGCCAGTTGTTAATCTCTTTTGCATCTTAAATTTTATTTTACATAGAAGCTTTATCTTTGCCACCATTTCAATAATTTGTATCCCTGCTAGCTCTGCTCCACTTGATCAAACTAACCTGGAAAATTTGTGAGCTATTAAGAGAACATACCATTTTCTTAGGGAGCCATTTATTCTCATCTTCACTGATAATAGAAAGTCATTTTCTGGGTTTGATACTAGCCTTCTCAATCTATACTGGGTGTGTTTTCTTCCATTGCTGGTTGTTCTCAAGCTATCACTTGCAGTCTTGTACAAGCGGAGGTGGGATACGCTTCTTGGACTCATTTTGGGCTCTGTTTTTACTCTTGTCAGCAAGGTGGATAAGGCAATGGAAGTAAATGGTGTTGGATCATCAGTTTAATTGATGACTAGACAAAAAAAACACGAAGTGCATCTATTTTCCTTCTTGTTTCGAATTCAGAATGGGTTTATAAACAAACAATAGAAGGTATCCCCAGACTTTCTTATTTCCCAATTCAAGTCTAGGTTTGAAAAGGGAGATTTCTCATAAGCACGTAGAGAAATATTGTCTAATTCCCTATGAGTTTAAAATTAAGTCTATTAACATCCCTCACTTACTAATTGTCCCTCAATGGATCTACATTGTTTCTGCCATCCTATTTAAAATTCCAGAGCCTTCTGTAACTCCTCTCTCATTCTACATATATGATGTTTGATTGGTCCACATCTGTTCTTGCACTTATTAATTTTTTTTGCCTTCCAATCTTTATCCACCTAGATGATGCCATTATTACCTGCACTGAGCCAACTGAAAGTGCCTCTTCACTGGTCACTATGGTGCTAAACTTTCTTACTCCAATCAGTTCCTTACCTTGCCTCAAGATGAGTCTTCCTTCTGAAAGCAGCACTCTGCTCATGCTCTTCCCTGCTCTAAATATCACTAACTTCTCATTTCTAGTAAAAAAGGCCAGACTCGTCAGTGTGAGATTTAAAGTCATTCATATCTTGTTCCAGCCTGCTTATACTTTTTCAAGACTTTCCCCCTCCCTTCCTCTAACACCCAAACACAGTGATTCAGTCATTCCTTAAAATAGCCTGGTACTTTTTGCCTCCACATTTTTGCTCATGCTTTTCTCTCTTCCTGGGATTCCATTCTCTTACATCCTAATGTGTATTTTAAAATGCCTCTTCTTTAATTAATTGCCAATGCAGAGTGATGTATTATAGTCTTATGCATATCTATTATATCTCCTCATTAGACAGTTAGATGTCAAAAGATAGAGCTATGTCCTATATACCTTTACACTATCGACAATGCTTAATATAATGCCCTGCATAAAATATACTTTCAACAAGTAGGTTTACTGATTGAATGAGTGTGTAAATAGAGATATAATGAACATATTGTTTAAACTTTGGATTACATCATACTCTGAAGTACAATGAATGGAAACTTTTGGAAAACTAACTGGTGCTTTCAGAGTAGAATGAAATTGAGAGTTCTAAAATATTTTCAGTCCCATCAAGGCCAGAGTTCCCTACTGTTCTCTTCCTTTATTCTGTCTTCATTTTTATTTCCTCAGACCCCTACCCCTTTATTGTCTCATACATATAGCTTGTTATATAGAAAAAATGTTAAAAGCTGTTAGCATTTAAAGATATGCGGCAGTTAAATCTCTTATCCATAACTCTGCCAAACTGTCTCCACTATTCAAACACAGCACATAAATAAATACAACTCACTGTGATCAGCTCATGGGCAAAACTATGCAGTGGGTCACTCTAGCCAAAGCCATCCCTGGAACAGCTTAAAAGCCTCCTGGAAACCTCATTAATGTGGCTCATTTTAAATTGTCATCCTCACATTCTAGAAAATTGGCCTTCTATTGATGTTTTGGAAGCGTAGATGACCCTGTGATGAAGTTTCTAGTTACTGGCACATGTATAAACCTAGGTACAGGTGTATATTGTGTGTGAAAGGATGTCTATTTGCATTTATGGGTTGGTTTTACCCAAAAATTTGAAGGTCTTTGAAGACAGGAAGAAAGTGCAAGTCTTTATTTCAGCTTAAAAGAAGGGCCCAAGTCCAAGAACTTAGAGGTTTGGCTTGGACAGGCATCCAGAAGTTAGGCTGACTATCTCAAGCTCCTGCATCTGCAAATGTGGACTGGATCAGTTGAGGACAGGCATTGTTATGACATTTTGCAATAGTCTTTACTGTCATTAACACTAGGAAAGAGTGCTTCCTTCACCATAATATGTTAAGATTTGGGGAACTGGAAAAACAAACAGGAAAAACAGAGAGAAAAAAATTGGTTTGGTTACTTTAAGAACTGCTATTCTTTCATTGCCTCCAAAGTTGTGATTACATCTCTATACTGCTAAGAGTTGGATCAGGCTATCACATGAATGTTATTAATCAATAATGAACAACTTTAAAATAGATCCATAGATCCAAAGAACTTGAAAGTTAATGGGGACCTTGAGAACCTTCTGGTCGAACCATATTTTTATACAGATTAAAAAACTGAGGCTTGAAGAGAAGACATGATGTGTCATGGACTCACAGAGTAGAACTAGGATTCCAGAGATCTGACCTTTAGTTAACATGGTTCTTCTTTTTTTTTCCTCAATAAACTTTTATTTATTTTTTTTGTTGTTATTTATTTTTATTCAAAAGAATTTGTTTCTCTACCACAAAAATTAGATAACCACATCACCAAGAGAATTAATGTCCATGGAGTTACATTGATGATGGAGAGTTGGCTGGGTATTCCCAAGGTCTCAAAGGTCATAAAGGAGGGAAAAGAGAAAAAGAAAAAATATTCAAAACAAATCCAAAACCCACGATGACTTTGGAGAGAGACATCACATGACATTTTCTTTTTCTTCTCTCATTGTCAGCTGCAGATGTATTTCAGCAGGATCAAGTACAATTTGACTTGAGTTAACCCTTCATACCAATTCTAGCACCTTAATTGTACCCTGACTGTTAGCAGCAATCAGCACATTGGAATCTCCATTTGGTAGTGCCCTCCAGCACACAGTACTAACAAATTCTTTTGTATCATCTCCTTTTCGGTCTTTGTCCAGAACACTTTTGACTGCATCAAACTTAAAAGTTAGCAAGGTCTTAGACAGTCCTTTATAGTACAGATAGAGAGAGCTATTTTCACTTCCACAAGCTTTATAATCTCCATTGGAAGCCAGGTCTACAAAGTTTTTTTCATTGATATGACCCTTAAAGGAACATGGAGAGTATGATTTCCCTACATTCCACAGTTTTAGCTGACTGTCTGTTGAGGCAAAGACCATCTCTTCACCACTCACAAATTTTGCATAAGAGACTGCTTTTTGGTGTCCTTTGAATACCATGATTGGCTGTTCAGTGTTATGAAGATCATAGTAGTGGACACAGTGATCTGCACAGCCAAAAGCCAAATGGTATCTGAAAGAGGGGCTGAATTTAACACAGCACACATTAGCCTTCGCCTCAGTGCTTGCCACTGAGCTGTCTAGATTGGTATACCACAGCTTCACTAAGGGCAAAGGACAATAAAAACAAAAAGAGAAACAAAACATGGCTCTTCTAAATCATCACACAGTTAGTCCTATTGTAGTGCATCTGGATGAATTGAATGGGCTGAGATTAGACAAGCTGAATTTTACTGTAATTCTCATTTTTATGTAAAGCGACTTGGTTTTTGGCAATTCATTTGTAGAATAAAGGCTTAAAATGTAGGATGGATTAATAAGTATGAGAGCCATCAGCAAGGAGAATAGGACAGCCATTGACATTCATTTTCTGGGAGGGAGCATTATTGATTGTTCTGAGCCAGGAGAGGAAATGTTTTTCTTCCTGGTGGAAGATCACTACCAAAGTTTCGAGGAGAAAAGTTAATTTGACCAGAATCCAATTTAGAGAACTGGATCACGAGCCAGAAAATAATCAACTAGGAAATCAAGGAAATAGGCCAGGGTGACGAGAACGTTTAACCAAGCAAGGACAGGAAGAATAGGGAGTCTTGAAATCAATCCCAAAACAGGAAGAGAATTGTAGTCAAGAGACATGGCCAAAGGGTCCCAAAGGGCAAGTTGTTTCTGCACATAAACTTGTGGTTACAGTCATATTTTGAAGCTCCTTCTTGTTCTGCATTTTTGGCTTCTAACAGTTTTAGAAACCTCCTGATGAAAGCAACTTTATGTGTTTGTGAAATCTAGTTTTCTAATTCGTTGATGCAGCATATCTTTCAAATCTTACTATCCTGAAAAATCAGATTTACACATATGAATATTGGTGAGGTTTAAGTCTATCACGGTGGGATTACAGAGTAGGGAAGAGCAAACTTAAAATGGTCCCAGACAAGTGTTTTAATGAAGCCTCCTGAGCTATACAGACTTCGTACAAAAAGAAAATGAAGATTATTTACTTCAGCCCTTTGCCTTTAGGTAAAAGAGGCATTTTTATTTTCCCTCCCCATTTTCTTTTCTGATCTGGTAGTGATAACAAATATATTAGATGATTGAGTCAATATCCAAGAAATCTCAAATCTAAAATCATGGGCAGATAAATTAATTCACCCTAAGACATGAAGAAGTAATATTCTTTGATCAATAATGAAGCTTTAATAAACTGTATGATTTAACTTTGGGAAGACAAATGATGAATTAGTCTACTTATGACTTCATTAGGCGTTACACAGATATTTGCAGAAAAGAGGGCAAATTCTACTAATTATAGGCTTAAAAGTTTGTTCCTAGGTAAAAATCTCAAAAATATTAAAGAACTAGATTATGAACCTTAGAGGCTAGACTGGGTCCACTGAGACCTGGTCACACCAGACTAACTTCTTTTTCAGTAAGGTTGCAAAACTAGTCAACAAGGGAAATGCTAAAGACATAGTATATCGACATTTCAATGTTTCTAATGTGTCTGTACTTGACTAAAGATTATGCAATCCTACAAATAGAAGAACGTATGACACAATTTTATTCCAGATCTTTAAGACCTTATGAATATGAGGGCAACTGATGCTACAATTAGATAGATAATAACTAATGAATGGCCACCTCAGAAACAACTGATTAACGGATGGATGGAAACCAAGCATTTTTTCTATATGAAAGTCTTCTTGGTAGTTTCCAGTTCAATATTTTGTATTAGAAGAAGACTCATTGAGCCGTATTATACATGGAAATTCCACAGTGTTACCCAATATGATGATAAGGGAGCTAGTATCTGAGATCCCCAAAACATGAATCTCTGGGGAAAATATTTTAAAAAATCGAATAGGAGTAGATGTAAAATGCATATGCATGTAACAGTACATTAATATACTTATAACAGTAATAGATGGGTAAAAATACTTGAGGTAGAAGGTAGGAAAGATATGGCTGACACAGCACACAGCACCCTGTGATGGTTAATTTTGTGTCAACTTGAGTGGGCCATGGAGTGACCACATATTTGGTTAAACATTTCTGGGTTTTTCTAGATGAGATTAACATTTGAACTGGTCAACTATGTAAAGTGGATTTTTGCTCTTCTCAATGTGGAAGGACCTTATCTGGTTTATTGGAAGCCTGAATAAAATAAAAGGCTGAGAAAAAAAAAAAAATCTCTGCCTGACTATTTTTAAGCTGGGGCATCATTCTTCTCCTGCCTTCAGACTCAGACTTACACTGGGACTTACACCAATGGCTCTCCTAGTTTTCTGACTGAGACTCGGATGGGACTTGCACCCAGTTTTCTTGCTTTCAAGCCTTCAGACTCAGATGGAACTGTACACTCAGCAATTCCCGGTCCAGACTTCTCAACCTCCATAATTGTGTGAGCCAATTCCTGTAAATTACTATGTCTCTCAATCTTTCTTTCTGTACACACACACACACACACACACCGTATTGATTTGGTTTCTCTGGAGAACCCTGACTAATACATACCCCTCACCCCTACAAAAAAGAGGGGGTGGTACTGCTGACCTTGGTATAAGTCAAGAGAGTCATATGACTACCAAAACTTAAAGATTAATCTTGGGTCCAGAACAAGCAAGGCTTTAATCAGAATATACCCAGAGTTTCATGTTCAGTTCTGGTAACCCCAGTATAGGAGGAAAAAGGTCAAACAGGAGAAAGTCCAGAAGGAAAGGACCAAGGTAGATGATGCATCTAAAGTCATGCCATTGAAAAACAGTCAAAACAAAAATGAGGCTGTTACACTTGGAGAAGATTTCAGGGAAACATACAACAGCTGTCTTCAAATTCTTGAACTGTTATCAAAACGAAGAGGAATGATTCATTCAGTGGAACTCCACAAAACAGTGACAGAGAGTGGACATTTTAAGAAGACTTCAGCCTAATCTAAGGAAGCACTTTCTAAAGATGGACTGGACTGAGATGGAAGTATAAGTTTTCTTCACTGAATCCATGTGACACCAAGTCCCGTGTGGTGTGAGGGTTTCCTGAGTAAGAGGGAGATTAGCATCAATTATCCTAAAGATGCTTTTTTACTTTATGAAATTGCTTTCTGTAGGGGAAATGATTGTTCTGTAGCCAAGCAAATAGTGTGATGAGATGGAATACTTACCCTACTTAATAGAAGACACTTTTCAAAGGATGTGTTCCTTTATAAGCAAACTGTTAACTTACTCATTTTTTGAAGTATGCCCCTTATGAAACTTTTAGCATTAATACTTTTTAGTTACTTTAGTTTAAATACCTTTATCTTTTTGAAAGTAACATAATGGATTTAAAAAAAAGATTTTATAATCTACATTTTTCATTAATTCAAGCAGATTTTTTCTTAATCATTCTGAATGAATCACACTTCTCTGAACATCTGAATGACATGTACTAAAGAAATATAATAATAATAATAACTTACTTTGGTTAAAAGTACTATGTGCTGGGCATGGTTTTAGGCATGAATTCACTCATTTACAAAGTTTTACTCCATCAGTCTTCACAGCAACTATATGAAGTAATTACAATTTTGATAAAATATTACTGATGAAAAAGCTGAACCACAGAGATGCTAAGTAATTTGTACTAGGACATATTGTCAGTAAGAAGCAAAGCAGGATTCTGGCTCCAGAATCTGCATTCTTTTTACCATATTATTTCTGTTTAACAACTTTCTGATTTTACAGCATTCCAGTTAGAAGAAGAAGTAAACTTTGAAATCCCTGCACATGGTTCTCAACATCCTGCTTTAGGGTAGCTTCATAAAATGTATCTAACTATGCTATGCTATGCTGTAAGAGAAAAGCAATTTTATTGTCTAGGTTCACACTTCCACAGAGACAGGTAGGCAGATTGAACACCTTTTTGTGTGTGAAGATTAAAAGAGATATTATATATAATCTCTCCTTTAAAGACCTGACAGGTAAAATAAATATCCCTGAGAAGTGGGAGATTTTTCCCCCCTCTCATTTGACAAATGCCATATGGTCTACTTAAAATTTTTTGATACTGTTCCTTGAGGGAAAAGTTACTCCTTGTAATCTGAGTTTCTGTTTGAAGATAAAGAATAATCACATTGAGAATGGCTTCCAAGTAGTTTCTCAAGTTTAAGTAGCCTCCTTGTGCCTGCAGTGGGGAGTTGCATTCCAATGCAATGTGTAACTGGGTATTTTTCATGTTGTGTAAAAGCATTCCATTGTATCTTTAATTTCTACATTATTGATATTAATCGTATGACTATGTTTTAGACACGGCCACCATGTCAAATGCACTTTCCACGAAGTGTCCAGTATTTTCACAAGCACAGTGAGCATCTATTATGCTCTTGCCTCAGAATAACAAGACACAGGACTTATTGTCTAGGCAGAAAGTTCTGGAACACAACATAAACACAAAGAATAAATAAAGGCAGGGGAAGAGAAGTCCTTCTACCTAATCACAAATTCAAGCATTCAAGAAAAGACCTGCACAATGAACAGTTCTATGAATTATGAATGAAGCTTACCATATAACTTCTTGCTTCTTCCGTCTACAACAGATTTTTTTTTTCCTCCTCTGGGTAACTGGGTTCATGATTAATCCTTTGCATCTCTTGGCCTTGTTGGATAGAAGAGAGTATTTTGAACCAGTAGTCTACTGTCATTTCTTTTTCCTGTAGTTAGAAAAACAAATTTACAATGTCTTAAAGTAATACATGATGCTGCAAGTTAGAAAAATGCAAGAAAAAAAGTGAAAATTATTTGCAACCTAGTATGCAGAGATTATTTCTATTAACAATTGAAAAGATTTGTCTAGCCTTTTTCATATATATATACTATGTATGTACTATGTATTACTATGTACATAACTACGTATGTACTATGTATGCATTATTACTTAATAAGTAATAATACTACTTATTATGTACTATGTAATACATAGTACACAATAAGGTTAACAGGGTTATCCTACACTCATGTTTTTTCATATTGCTTTTAAAAATAATTTAATAATATTTGCACATTTTCCTGTGCTGTTGAAAAAGGGAAAATGAGTACAACAACTTTGGAAAAAGATCTGGCAGTTATTTATTAAACTACACATGCACATACCCTATGACTCAACAATTCCATCCTATGTATAAAGTCCAAGAGGAAATAAAACATTTATTCACAAAATACTTGTACAAGAATGTTATGTCAGCTTTATTTGTTATAGTAAAAAATTGGAAGTAGCTCAAATATCCATCAACAGGTGAATGGATGAACAAATTGGTATATTCATACAATGGAATACTACTCAGCCACAACAACTCATGTCATTGCATAGGCTTGGTGCAAAAGTAGTTTTTGCCATTACTTTTAATATCCCAAACCATTGACAGATACAAAAGCATGAATAAATCTCCAAGGTATGGTGCTGGGTGAAAGAAACCAGAATTAAAAACAGTGCATGTTGTATAATTCCATTTATATGAAGTTCTAAACCAGAAAAATGGTTTCCTCTCAAGGTTGGGATAGGGTAAAGGCAATATTGACTAGAAAAGCATGCAAAAGAATTTTTCAGTGTTACAATATTCTATATTTTAATAAAAACTTGTGTGACACAGGTGCGTACATATGTCAGAATTCATGAAATGGTACATGTAAGACTTATGCATTTGACTGTATAAAAAGTTTTACCTAAAAAAGAGGAAACAGATAACACATTTTAAGCCTCGGTTTCCTTATCAGTGAGACAAATAAAAAGTGTCATATTTGTAAAGCATAATGCCTTTATATACCATTGTTCCATAAATGACAATAATCCTTCAAAGCCTGGACATTTCTTCAAAACAAAGGTTCAGTATATCTAATATATAAAAAGCTCACTGAGAGAAACCACTGAACTTCAATAGGGAAATGAGAAAAATAAATAAATTTAAAATTCTAAGAAGAAATGTACACAGCCAGAAACCATGAAATCATGTTCAAACTCATTATTAAAAAATTAAGCATCTACTAGGCTTTATTGAGCATCTACTAGGTTTATATGCATCATTTTAATTAATACATTTGATTAATAAACTTATAAACTATATTTAACCTCACTGGTAATCCAAAAATGAAAGTTAAATGAAAAAACTTACATTTTTGCCTAATAAAATAAAGGTTTTAAAAGTATAGTAATGCTGGAGAAAGTGTGATCGGATAAGCATTCCCAAATATACTCCGTGGGATATAATTTGTCACTACTTTTTGGGAAGTGTTTTTGCCATATGGATTAAGAGTTTAAAAAAAGGATATACCCTTTGAATTTGTAATTCCATTCTGGGATCTTTTCTAGGAAACGGTCAAAAGGTGTACAAAAATGCAAGTATAAAAATATCCAATCTAGCATCATTTATAATTGCAGAAAACTAAAAACAACCTGAAAATTCAATGTAAAAGGCTGACAGAATAATTTACATGATTTATCGGGAGTGCATCCACATATTGGAGTAGCAGGGACTTGTCCATTTTCTTTCCTAGGATCCCTGATTTTCATCATGTTACCTCTCAGGATAACTGAGCGGTGTGAAAAGGGGAGAACGTTTCTGTTTCTTGTGCTACCATGGAGAAGAGTAGGGAAACAATTAGGACCAGAGTTACTCATTTTCTTCTAAGCATGTACGCATTTCTGAGGGATAGGAATTCCTCACAAAGACAAAAGACTATGGTTGGGCAAGCATGTTTTTATGTGCCTCCTTTCTCAAGATCTTTCTCCCTCTTTTCCTTGATCGTTCCTCTTGTCTCTCCCTCTCCCATCTTTCTCCTTTACCAAGATCTCTGGGCACTGAATGAATCCTGGACATAGGACAAGAGTCTGGACTGTGTCTACATGAAGATAGTAGATGGGTTATTGCAAACGCCGTCAGGACCTCTTCTCTGTGTGCCTGCACCTCCCTGCACACCCGTCCTATCATCCCACTTACCACTCTATATTGCTCTACCTGTTTGTTTGCCTGCTTTTTTCATTAACTCCTGGAGGACAAGAATGATGCCTTATTCATCCTGATGAATGAATCCCAGAGTCAGCGTCCAATATATTAAATGGAGAGAGTGTATAAAATAATTGGTCAAGCATTCTGTGTTCAGATAGCCTGGGCTTTAATCCTAGCTTTGCCATTTCTTAGCTGTCTGACCTTGGGTATCATATTTCTCTGTACTTCACTTTCCTTATCTTTAAAGTGGGATTAATAAAAGCCACCAAATATATGGAGTTACAGTGACTATTACATGAGTTACAGTAAAACTCTTAGAACAATGCCTAGAAGATAAGTAAGTCCTCAATAAATGTTGGCTATTAATATTCACATATTTATAGCAATTTTAATAGAAAATTACTCTGAGATCAAATTAACTATACCTGATAATGAGTTCTAATCATTGGATATCAATAAGCTTGCCTTGGGTACACAAGAACCCATATTTATCTTTTCAGGTTCATGGTTCACTCCAATTGCTTGCTACAATGTCTGGTCAATAGTAGGTGCTCATTGAACGTTGAATGAATAGATACATGCATGTCTAGATAGCCATACATAGATAAGAAACATAATAAGGAAGATAGAAAAGGAAGAAAATCTGTGACTGCCACAGCAAAACTAATCCTCCATGTTTGGGGTGTTAATGACTATGAAAGATCTCTCATTTGAAATTGGATGGGTACACATCTTTTAGATGGAGGTTATGCAGCTTAATATTATGACATATGCACATATCTTAATGAGAAGAGCTGAGGGAATGGAGTCTAATCTGGGCCTTACCATTTAGTAGCTCTGTGACCTGATATAAATTACCTAACTTCCCTGGTCCTCAGTTTTCTTCTTCATAGGTAGGGTTAAAAATTCCTACCTCTTGAAACATTTATGAGAGTTAAATATAATAAGGTATGTAGAGCCATTTCTACAACGTTGCAGTTATTGGTTTTATTTCAGTTTATGTTGGTGGTGAGACTCCTGGAATTCATTTTTCTGTCCAGTAAACAGTAATGGAAGCTAGTGGACATGAAGTTCTCACACAGAAGCAATGTGTAACTGACAACAGGGAGGTCATTCAAATAAGGTCACTTATTGCATATCAACATGGAAAGAAAATTTGTTACATATGGACTTAATGGAAACGACACCCTAATTTTATGTCACGTTGATCCAAGAAGCCTGCCTGAGATTCTCTGCATGATGTCTTCTATAGGAACATGTATTTTTATTGTATTTCATTAATACAATCAAAGGGGTTCCCTTGAGTTGACTTATAGTAGGCTGTGATATCAAATTATCTGAAGTTAATACACAGGATACAAGTGGATGTTTTATCTTTTGGCTAGGAGTCCAAGGCTACATTTTATTGAGAATACCAACAACTGGGTTGTTGCCTAGAATTGACTGGGTATTCGGAATGTCCAAGGTTGCAGAGAAGGGATCTCAGGATCAGACGCGCAGTTTTTGCATTTATCAAATATTTCTATAAGTACAGTGTCCCAAGCTCCACGTGAGTTGCAAAAGATAGTGCCAAAAATGAACAAAATACAGACAGATCTGGCCTGAAGGAATTCACGGTAGTGAGGAAGACGGATACAATTTTTTTATGTAGTTTTACACATATATACATACATCTCTGTTCTAGCAGAGATATGTGGAAAGTTCTGTGAGGACACGGAAATGCAAACAATTAATTCATCCTGGGAGCATCACAGAGGAGGTGAGATTTTTAGTGGCTTTGAAGGACAAGTAGGGGTTCACCACAGAAACCAGAGAGGGACGGTCATTCCTCGATGAGAAAAGAGGACTGGTCAAAGTAGCATGGAGGAAACATCTGTCACATGGGTGGTCTGAGGTCCCAAGTGTGTGGAGGAGCAGCGAGAGGTAGACGAGGTTACATTGTTAAAAGACTTGGACTGGTAATTTTTTTGAAAATTAAAAAAATCGACTCTAACCTGACGTAAGTAATAAAGGTAATGCTTACTGCAAAATCTGAATTGCCTAAAGTGAAAGTTCGAGGCCTAGTTCTCCTCCTTTTTCCGGGCTCCAAATTCCACTGCCAGATAGAACAATGACTGATGATTTTTTTTTTCAGGGATGCTTCCGCATATATAATACATATGAATGCATATATATGTGCATTCATACACACATTTTAAAAATAAAAATGCAATTATAGTATCAGTATTGTTTAATG